GGGTCAGGCAGACCCACAGTTGAATGCCGCTCCACCACTCGTGAGCTGAGTGACCTTGGAAACGTTACTTAACCTCTCTGAGCCTCAGCAGCCTCATCTGTGGCATTGGTGTGATAATAATGATACAGTTCCATGGGAGTTTGTATGAGAATTAAATGAGAACATGTACATCAAACCCTTAAGGCTGTCTGACACGTAGTAAGTGCTTCAGTAAACAGCGGCCATTAGTACTGTGACTCATGAAAGGAAGGGGCTTCTGGAAAATCCTGCTTGGGGGATGATAACAGGATTTGGACCAAGTCTGGGTTGAATGGCTGAGGGAGGTCTTGACCAGCTGTACTGGGCCCTGGGAGGGGAGTGGGGAAGGGAGGTGGGAGGGCAGGTAACTGCAGATTCTCCCTCACTCAAGGGAGGAAATCAGAGGTGTAAGTAAGGAGAACAGTGTGCCCAGGTAGGATTTGATATTCTTTTAAAACTGAGAGCCCAAAGAAATGCAAACGGCCAGGTCCTGGGCCAAGAGGCTTGGGGTGTGAGTTCAAGCCTCGCTGATGGGCTGTGTGGTCTTAGGCAAGTGTCTTCCCCGCTCTGAGCCTCTTCCTCCTCCACCGGACGAGGGCAGTGGCTAGAGGTGGCCTGGGAGTACCCAACAGTCCCGTGCATGTGAAAGGTGGTCCCTCCCACACAAGTGGTTCCCCTGAACTAGGATCAGGCATCTAACTGTCCCTGGAGCCTCTCAGGCCCCCCTTTCCCTGGAGCCTGCACCCAGGGATGGGACGCTCAGGCCAGGGGTGTGGCCAGGCTGGCCCGGGGGCTGATGGGAGACAGCGGCTTGACCTTTTGGTCCAGAGCAAATACACTGGTCATGAGACTGCTCAGAATAGCCATATAACTATATTCAGCCGCCCTGGGAGGCCCCGAGATCCCTGGTCCAGGCAGTGGGCCCTGGAAAGAGCCCCCACCAGCCCCCCTCCCCCACCTCTGAGGAAACACGCCTCCCTCTCTGGGAGGCTCAAGCCAATCTCCTCCAAAGCTCTGGCAGAGTCAGAACGCCCAGAGTTAGGGAGCACAGATTCCTGCCCCCAGAGAACCAGACTCCAGACACTCCCTGAGGTGTCATAAGGTGGATGGGGTTCCCAGCCACGGAGCCAGGAGTTAGAGACATGGGTTTCTGAACCAGTCCCCAAGCAACGTGTTCACGTGTGACCTTGGATAAAGCACTCCTCATCCAGTTGAGGTGGATGGGCCTCAACCTCCTCGTGTGTCATAACAATACCTCCTATTATACTGAGTATGTAAGAAGCTTAGACTCCGGAGTGGGAGACAAACTGGACCAAGCAAGGCTGCTAATGAACATTTTATTACAAACTAGATCACTTCTCTGAAGGGAAGGACTCTGGTTCTGGACCCAGCCTGTGGGGTCCAGGAAGGCATTGCCAGGGAACTGATGTTTGAGGTGGGATGTCAAGGATAAAGAGGGGCAAACCAGGAGGAAAGAGTGCTCCAGAGGGCACAGCCTATGCAAAGGCCCTGAGGCTGGGAGACCCGGCATGTGCAAGAAGCTGAAAAGAGGCCAGGATGACTGGAGCTCAGTGAGTGATGGAGAGAGCCAGGCCAGAGGAGCCTAGAGAGGCAGGCAGGGCCTGAGGGCTACATTATGGGCCGGGGAAGCACCAAAGGGTTTTAAGCAGGTAAGGAGGTGAGCTGACAGATCTGTGAATTGAAGAGCCCTCTGTGGTTGCCAAGTGGAGGATGAAATGGAAGGCCCAGGGGCTGGAGCTGGGAGAGCAGTCAGGAAGCTGCAGGAGAGGTGGGCCTGAGGGACACAGTGGTGGCTGGAACCAGGACAGTGGACATGGAGACAGAGGGCAAAGGATGGAGTCTAGAGAGAGTCATGAAGTAAAAGGATAATCCAACCAAAAGGAGTAATAACAGCAGCCAACGTTTATTGACCTCTTACTGCATGCCAGGCCCTGCGGCTTGGGGCGCTGCGCCAAGATGCAGATAACTCAGTTACTCTTGCCATCAACCCTCCGGAACACGTTCTATCATTATGCCCATTTTAGAGGCGAAGAGGCTGAAAGATTCTGACTAGAAGACGCTTGGTTTGTGATTTTCATTACTGGGAGGGGAGCTGGTGGGGGGCTGGAGTACCATTCAAAGACACGAGGACACCTGTGAAAGCATCGTGGGAAGGAGAAAAACACTGAATGGGGGACACACTGTGGTGGGGAGCACTTGGGGTGGCAGGAGGGGAACACACCCAGCCCTTCTCCACTGCTCATGCGTCTCCTTCACGTGTTACCATGACTCCAGGTGGGGCCCTGACCTGGGGGAGTGGGCTCTGAGGTGGGGGACAAGATGCTTAGGAAGTTCCTGATAGCTTCTCTGTCCCCATTCCCTCTGTACGCCAAGCCAGGCCAAGAGCCCAGTGTCAGACGGGACCCAAGGGACACCCAGAAGTCTCTGGCTGGGCTCTGCATCCCAGCTTCTGGGTGAGATTCCTTCCCAGGGATTTGAGGAGGGAGAGGACTACATCAGGTCCCAAAAAGGTGAGGACAAGGCAGAGAGACGGAGACCTGGCATCAGAGGAGAGCTGAGCAATGGGGTAGTAGAGGAGGGGCTTCCCAAGCGTGCGGCCATTGCCTCTTCTTTGTCATTAGAAAGTCAAGGGACTTTGGGGGACAGATATCAACACACACACACACACACACACACACACACACACACACACACACACAAGATACTCTCTGGCCTGCAGCGCAGGGACTGCCGTTGGTGGTGTGTGACCTGACACAACAATGTTCCTGATGACAACATGAAAATCATAGATAAAAGCCAAGAGCCTCAGACCCGTGCTGGTCCCCGGGGAAGACAGGAGGGCAGGTTTCAAGCCGGGGCTGCCCCAGCACAGCCCTGCCTGCTCCCGTATCTCCACAGCTTTGCGTGCTAGCACTGCCGTTCCCTGCCATCGCCTGGCTAATTCCTACTTGCCCCTCAAAGCTGGTCCCAGTGTTACCTCCCCTGGGGGTAGTTCTCCCTCGCATAGTCCCAGGAAGCCCCTTCAAGCCCTTACCGCAAAGCGTCATCATCATCCTTTGCTTCTGTGTCTGGGACAGCACCCCTCACCCCAGAAGACAAGCTGGGCTATCCTGTCCCGGCTCACCTCCTCACCCCTTACCCCCTTGGGCTGGGGGCCCAGGAAACCCGAGGAGAGAGGGGCCAGGGAACCCATGGCTCCAGCTAGTACAGTCACTCCCGAAGCGCTCAGATGGGACCTTCCACCCCAGCCAAGTAGCCCCTATCTCCCAGGGCCACCGCTAAGGCCTGCAGAGGGGTGGCCTCACTGCCTGGCCTGTGCACCAACAACTGACCTGAGCTAGAGCAGTATTTGCACTGAGGATGGGGAATGGGGTGCAAAACCGCTCACTAAGGCAGCTCAGGAGTCCCAGGAGATGGAGGCAGCAGGCAGGAGGCTGGTCTGGAGTTTCGTCTTCCTCAAGGCACACACACCCAGGCGATGCAGGGCCTTCTCACATACGAGCACACACAGCCACACTGACACCAGGTTCTCACACACAGCTTCCGTCTCACACACCCCTCACTACACACGGTCTCTGTCACACATTGGGCCCTCACCCCCCACAGCCTCACACACAGATGGGCTCGTGCACACAGCCTCACATGCAAGGCCTCACAGTGTCATGCCTGCCACACACAGAAATACACTCGCCTCAAGTCTCTTACACACTCCAAGAATCTCTCTCTCTCCCTCTCACACAAACACACACACAGCATCTCTCTTACACATACAGTCTCTCTCTCTCATATACGCACTCTCTCCCACGCAGTCTCATTCTCACACACGAAGTCCATCTCTCAAAACACACAGAATCTGTCTCCCTCACATTCACACAGAATTTCTCTGATACAGAGACTCACGGAATCTCTCTCACATAGTCTCAACACACACACACAAACACACACACACACTCCCAGAGTCTCACTCATATGGTCTTTCTCACACGCATGAAGAACCTCTCACGCCCACACAGAATCTCTCTTACACAGATTCTCACACATACAGCTTTTCTTTCATGCACATCTACAGTGTCACACACAGGATTCCGGTCTCGAATCCAGAATAAACATTAAAATCCCCACCCACAAATCCGAGGCGGCTTGGGGCCCGCGTGGGGAGGGGTAAACAAAGGTGACGGCAGTGGCGGAGCAGCGATGGAGGGGGCAGGGCGGGCGGGCAGCCGGCTGGGCTCTGCGCAGATGCGCTGCAGGAGGCAGCGCAATGCAGCTAGGCCAGCCGGCGTGCAGCGGGAAGCCTGGGTTCTAATCCAGGCTCTGCCCTCAGTTCCTGCGTGCCCTTGGGCAGGCCCCGGTGTCCTCATCTGTCACCCAAGGGAGCTAGAACAGCCCTGTGTGCCTACGGGGGAAGGAAGGTGGCACAGATAGGCTGTGGGACGACACTTTCCAACCCACCTCCACCCCCCAACCTACTGCCCAGCTTCTCCCTCAGAATCTGCTCTTCAGTGGACACTGGAGAGAGCCAGGACTTTTCCGTAAGGTTTTGTACACCAACAAGGCCCCATTTATCCAACCCATTTATCTGCATGGGGTGACGGCCACCCCAAAGCAGAGGAACGGCCAGTGGGAGGAGATGGACAGGGCAGAGGGCTGGAACGTGCCCCACGTGACCCCTGCCTATCCTGAAGCTCAGGGGCACAGGCCAGAGCCCTAAAGCTGAGCCCAAGGAGAGGGGTGGGGGGACCCAGCCTCTTGCTGGGGAGCCCGAAAGCTGAGAGGACGCTATGGAAGTTGGGCCTACTCTGCTTCTGGGGCCAAAGGGGTGGTGGTCATGGTGAGATGCTGTCCGAGGTCAAATGCAGGCTGAATGGGCAGCTGCTCTAACCCAGGCCTCTGCCCTGCATGCCCCCCCGCCCCACATGTGCCAGTTCAACCCCCCAGTCCCCTTCCTCCTGCCCCTCCCCACAGCTCAGCCACAGCCTCCAGTTACATAATCCCCTGGCTCTGGTGGCCTCTGTCAGGAGAGGGGAGGGGAGGGGAGACCCCCGAGCGTCTCAGTCCACTCTGGAGATGGCAGGGAGCTGGGGGCCAGCGCGATGGAGGATGGGGTCCCAGGAGATTTGGGTTCCAATCCTGCTTGGCCTCTAACTCCCCAGGTGACCTTGGGCAGGTTCCTCAAAACAGGGGGTTTAACTCCCTCCCTATTACTGTGCTCCCCCAAACACACACACATGCACATCTGAGCTAAGATTTAATATATAAGACCTGCTGCCCCCTCCCTCAGATGCTAAAACATTGAGTGTTTTATCTCAGTAACACATCCACCAGGCCTGTGCCTACACACAGCCTTTCTCTGCCATGGACACTTCAGTGCCCACCCTCCAGTCCCCTTTGCCCACTGGAGTCAGCTGGGCAGACACTCCTGCCCCCTCCCCTGCCCGAACCTCCATCCCTGGGCTCCAGGCGGCAGGAGGCATGGGATGTGGAGCAGTGGAGGAGAGTGGGGCAGCAGAGGCAGTGTTTGGACTGGTAGGGGGTTGGTGGGTAGCTCACACACGGGGGAGAGGCTCTGCTTTAAATTCCCAGCTCTGACCCCTCCCCTCATGCCACAGCCTTGGTTCAGGCCTCTGAGAACAGAGCCCAGCAAAAGCAAGACGTGTCTTCCAGTGTAGATGGCTTCCAGCGTAGATGGCTGGTGTCTCCCTTTGGGGCTCAATTAAAGCAGCAAGGACCCTTAGAATTTACCAGACCCCCTCTCCCATTTTATAGTTGAGGAAAGTGGTCAGAGAGGCCATCTGAGGGGCCAAGGTCGGCAGCAGGGTGCCCTTTCTCCCTGGCAACAAGCTGCTGTCACTAAAGGGGAGTGGCTGATGAAGACACACCCACCTCTCACAAAACTTGTCCTCGCAGATCCCCCCGTAGACCCCTTCTCTGCCCCGGCAGGTCCGAGAGGACGCATAGGCAGAAGCCCAGTGGCCCCCTCAAGCACCCTCTCCTTTTGACAAGGCAGAAGGACAGGCTCTGTTCCCAGGAGCAGGTCTCAGAGGGATCACATCCCCCTCCCCAACTATCTACCAATTAATTAGCCATAAACGTTCCCCCTCGGCCATCTCCCCGTGGCCTGAAGCTGCTCCCTGGGGAGGGGTGGTCTCTCTCAGGCAGCAGACCAGGTCTCAAGCCCTCTTCTGTGGGCCCTGGCTGGTTCCAGGTGGCCCTTAGCTGGGAGAGAGGAAGGGCTCTAGCTTCCCTGCCCACACCAACATCTAAAGGACAGTTCACACTTTCACCCTGTACACCTGCAGAGACGCAAATATGCACACACAGGCACTCCTGCACACTCAAACATACACACATGCTCACTCATTCCCACTACATACCTTACCCACCCAAATATACACCGCCACACTTACATAAATATACACACACAATCTACTCATACACACAAACACACCCATTCATACTCACCCATACACATTAAATTTGTAATACAGACACAGACTTTACATATGTACAAAGCTAGTCACCCTTCAGGAGAGTCACTCTGTCGCTTACACGCGCGCACAAACACCCCCCTTTCATTTCTGACTCCCTAGGCACCAGTTTTCGAATCCACCCCTGCCCTCGGGAGGCAGAGGACCTTGACTTCCCCGCCCCGCTCTTCAGATGGGTAAGTTGTCACTTACCCGCGCGTAGCGGGATGAGTAGGGGTCCTCGAAGAGCGCCCAGATGCGCGGCTGCCAGCGGCGCCAGAAGCCGCCGGGCCGGCCGTCCGGGGAGTCGCTGAGTGCCAGGCGCTTGGTCATCTCCAACTCGTCCTCGCCGTCGCCTGAGTCGCCGGGGCCGTCGGCGTCCGCGTCGTCGGCGCTGTTGTCCAGGGGCGCGCCGCCGAAGCTGTCCAGCGCCTCCTCGGCGTCGCGGTGCTGGCGGTACGTCATCCAGCAGCAGGGCTCCACGTCGGTCTCGTCGATGCCCCAGAAGGCCAGCTCCTCCTCGTAGAGTGGCCCGCACACGTCGGCAGGGCAGTGCAGTTTGCCAGTGCGGTAGTAGTTCAGGATGTGTGCGAAGACGCCCGGGTGGCGGTCGAAAAAGAACTCGTCGGCGCGCGGGTCATAATCGAAGTGGCTGTGGGCGTCGGGCTCTGCCAGCCAGGCGAGCCGCGTGCCGGGCAGCGTGCGCAGCGTCGAGCGGTACGTCTGGTGGCGCGTGCCGCCCACGTTGATCACGATGCGCTCGCTTTCGTCCCCTTGGCCCATCGCGGCGCCTCCTTAGGCATGGCGCGGCCCAGCGACACCCATGGGAGCGGCCGCCAGGGGGAGTTGGCGCCGGGGAGGGGGGCGCGCGACCTCCTCCCCCCTCCCCCCAGCCGTCGGGGGGACAGAGGACCTCGGCTCTGGCTACCCCCAGAGCGACTCAAGCCCCTCAGGGCGCTTTCTGTCGGGTGCTGGTCCAAGGGCGTGTGCGCGGGATCCCCAGGGTCTCTAGGCGCCAGATGTGGGAGGGAGCTGGTCCGGCTGCGGAGGAGGCAGAGGAGGAAAGAAGGGAGGGAGAGAGGGAGGAGGAAGGGAGGAAGGGGGCGGCGGCGCTCAGCGGCGAGCCCCAGGAGGAGGGAAAAGAGGGTGGGGGGGCCGGGCTCCCGTCCCCATCTCAGCGGGAAAATGGAGAAATCGACACAAAGCTTTTGGGGGTAAGGTCAGCTGCTTCCAGGGCCGGTCAAAGACCAGCCCCTGGAAGGGGGAGGGGAGGGGAGGAGAAGGAATCTGGAAATTCGCGCTCTGCTGTGAGGTGGTCGCCGCAGCGCGCTCTCGGCGTGGGGGAGATGGATGCCCGCTGCCTTCCTCCCTGCGTGGACCGGCTGCGCAGGGCGGACTCCGGCCCCCTCCCTCTCCTTGCCTGGCTGCCTGCTCCCCGCCGGCGGCGGGCGCGCCCGCCCGCCCGCCCTCCTCGCTCCTTCTCCCCGCCTCTCGGAGGAGATGGCGGGCCCCCTGGGCAGGGGCACCAGGGTTGCTGCTCCGTGCTGCTGCTGCGGAGCGCTGCGCTCGGTGCGCTCCGGCTGGACCTGGGGCTCTCCGCTGGGCTGCGCTCCGACTCGACTCCGGCGGCGGTGCTGAAGGGACAGCTCCGGGACTGTTGCGGAGCTCCGCGGAGCCGGGAAAGGGTTCTCCGGGCTGGGCTCCGTCTGCGGGGCCGGCGGGCACTGACTCCGGTGCCTCTGCGCCCTGCTTGTGGCAGGCTGTTGGCTGTGCCGGCCGAGGCGAGGGGGCCGCGGCGGTCGGACCGGGGAGGCGGGGGTGGCGGGTCCGGGCGCGGCGAGGCGAGGCAAGGCTGGTGAGGCCGGGGAGGCGAGGCGCGGAGCGGCCGCCGCCGCCGCGACGCCGCTGCTGCCGGGGCTGCTGCTCGGCTAGCTGGCTCGCTTGCTCGCTCGCGCGGTCCGCGTCCAGCCCGCCGCTCTCCGGACACTGGCACACGGCGCGCGCAGCCGCACTCGCCCCCGGAGGGAGGTGCCGCGCTGGGTCCTAAAAAGCCCTGATTTCGCGCCCCCCTCCCAGCCCCGCGCGGAGCCCGGCCTCCCTCAACCCCGGCGCTGGGGGCGCCAGCCCGGCACCGATCCTGCGCCTCCGGGGGACCCGCCGACGCTCCGCCCCCGGGGAGCGCCACTCAGTGGGCGGGGGCTCCGGGAGACGTCTCAACCCGCGCCCCAGGGTCAGACCGAGGTGAGAAGGGCGTCGGTACCCGCCCCTGTCTTTCCAAACTAGGGACTGTCTGATTCCCTAGTGAAACAAGACGGCCCTGACCGCTATCAGAGAAACCTCGACCCGCACCAGTATTGACCGCTCCAAGCAGCTGTTCAATAGCGACCCTTGCAGGGAACCTGGAGCCCCCATGACGCTTCCATAGGTACCCTCTTGCATGGATTCCAAAATAACACACCCCGCGCTCCCCTATACACAGCACACACCTGTACTAGGTTGTGTTGTCCTCTAAGCCCTCTACTAAAAACCCAATAATCTTGGACCCCTATTAACCCCTTTCGACCCTTTTCTGACCCTGGGCCCTTCTTAACTCCAGGCTGACTCTAGTCTCCCATGAGTGTCACACGCTCTGCCATCCTGATCCCAGCTCACTGATCCTCCCACACTAGCCCAGGATCCTTAGGTGAGGATCCCTTGTGAAAAGGGCATTCTGTCCTTAGAGGTCAGAAGAAGCAACTGCCTCTAGTGGTCGTGAACGTTGACAGCCCCCCTTTCTCCGTAGGGCTTCAGCTGCCCTGGATGGGAAGCTGATGCTGTGTCTGGGGGCTGGATAGGAGCAGACCCCTGCTGTGATTCCTGGCTTCGCAGTTGATCCTGGGGTGGGAGTTGCAGTTTGGGCCTCCGAGGCTTCCTGGACCACGTTTGCTGGCGGTGCCTCAGTTTACTCAATCGAGCAATCACTCCTTCACTCCTCACTTGTTCCAGGCTCTGTCCCAGGCACAGGGGCACAAGAGACCCTGCCCTCCAGGGGCTCCGGGCAGTCAGGGAAGTGGGCAGGTGGGTCTGGGCAAGGCTGGGGAGGTCAGGCCCAGCTCCAGGTGTGGCCGCACTTGGAAAGAGACTTATTGATCCAGCCCAGCCCAATCGAACACAAGGCTGCCTGGGCAAAGGGCTATTTAATTAAGAAGACGTGAGGCTCTTATTTACCTGTCGGCACTTGCTAATTGCGCAGACAGCTGTCCCTCGACACTGACCCACAGACCTGGTTGTGGGCCTGGGGACGAAGCTGTGCAGCAGACATCTCTCTCCTCACTTGGCCCAGCGAAATCTGTGTGTGCTGGGGCAAAGGTTTGGAGGAATGGAGAGGTTTGGAGAGGGGCGAGGGGCAGAGCAAGAGCTGAGGGGTGGGAGAAGGACAAGGGGAAAGACAGAGAGGCAGAGTTATGGCAGAAACAGGGGCAGAGATGGGCAGAGGCAAAGAGAGAGCTGGAGTCTGGGGCCAGAGATTGATCTGTGTTCTTCTTATGAATGGGGGCTTCTTCCCCTTCAATACAATTATTTCAGAGCAATACAGGGATGAGAGTGCGTTTCAGTGTCCCTCTCACCCTGACCATTGTGAGCCCTGTCCCCTACCCATGAGGAAGCCAGACCCAGTGCAGCTCAGCTTGGCTCAAATTCAGATTCCCAGGACACAGTTCTCTCAGAAAGTTCTGCCCCAATCCAAGGAGGTGATAAAACAGAGAAATGGAGTCCCCTCACACACACACACACACACACACACACACACACACACACACACACACACACACACCTGGGAGAAATCAAGGTGGGGAGAGACAAGACAGCGGCCTCGCCAAACCTTCCCTTCCTTCCAGCCAGTTGTCTAGTCCCTCTTCTCCCCAGGAAGCCCTCTGCGATTCTGCCAACCATAGGGGCCCACGGTTCCACCTCTTCCCTCTCCTGCAGGACCACATGGATCAGAGTACAGCTCCCTAACCTTCACTATAGCTTATTTCATTTCCCGGTAAAAAAGGACTATCAGGTCCTCCAAGCCTCCTTCTTGCTTGCTTCCTCCACAGTGCCCAGTGTACACTAGCTCCTCATTAAGGGCTGGATGACTTGAGAAAGGCCAGGAGAGAGGCTAGGATCCTAGCATCCTAGTGTCAGAGGCCATAGGAGTCTGGAGCCCTCAACCCAGGCTGAGTCAAAGGGAGACTTACCCAGGGTTTCTCGGGAGTCAGTGCAGGGCCCACTCAGGCCACTACCCCATGGTGAGCCATAACGGGGAACTGAAGCATGGCCCAGATGGTGGGGAGAAGCAGAGGGAGAGGCAGAGAGAGGCCAAGGGCTCCTAGAAGGGGTAAAGTTGGGTTATTAGGGGCCCTGGTCAGGCCTGGCCCTGAAGGGCTAGTAAAAGAGGCAGGCCAGGGTTGGAGGGAGGGGGAGTGTGCAAGTGTATCTATCGCACCTAAAATCCCCTACGAGGCAAGCAGAGAAGGCTCAGAGAGAGGAGCCTTCCAGGTGGGAGAGGGTAGCTGCCCATGAGGTGCTCCACGCTGTCCCACTTTAGGATTCTCACCTTCATCCTTGATGACGCCCCAGGCCTCAAAGGCTCTCCCCCTTCTCTATCCTAAGCAGGGACACAAAAGTCCCTTCTCTCACTTCCCCTTCACACTGTAAGGAGGCTGGCATTTGCAGAAAGCCTAGAAAAATCAAGAGGGCAACATAGAAAAAAAAAGGGGAAAAGCCCCAAAGAAATGGGGTAGGGAGGGAGAATCGCTGGACTGAGCCTTAGCTTCCTACCAGCAACCACTAACCACAGACCCTCAGCCCAGCTGAGGACCTCACCCCTTTCCACTTGTGAGCAATCCCCCTTATTCACAGCCCTTTGCCCCCTCCCTTGCAGAGGAAAGCTGTGGCCCCGTGCCAGAGGCCCTTCGGGATCACTGGCTGTTGAGGGGCGGGGAGCAGCGCAGGGTGCAGTGAACTACCAGTGGGGTGGTGTTATTCGGTGGTCAAGAGCAAAACCTCTGGAACCGAGGTACCTGTATTCAAATCCCAGCTCCACCATTGACAACCTATGACCTTGGGCAAGTTATTCAATTTCTCTATACGTCAGTTTCTTTATCGATGGATATGCAAAATAATAAGCCCTATATCATAACACTTCAGCTCTGTAATTTCTCTTGTTCAGGCTGGAGGAGGGGGCTGATGAGAGGGGCTGGAGGACGAGCTGGGGCTGGGTATAGACAAGAAAAAGGTGAAGGGAGTCCTGAAGCCAAGTTTGGCCTATGTTCTCACACCTGGCATTTGCAGGCCTTAGATCTGGTCCTGCTAGGCTCTGGAACTGGCTTAAGTCCAAGCCCCAGGCCTTGGTCCAGGTTGGCCCATGCCATATGCTCTCTCCCAGGCCCAGAGACTTCACATTCCTGGTGGGTTGGGGTGCCATCTTGTGGCCACATCTGGAAACTAACCTAACCGGGGCACAGAGCCGGCTTTGGAGCTATGATAAACAGTGCAAGCGGCAGGCTATCTTTTCCACACATCAGAACTCCTCTCTCCAATGGACAAGGGAGGGTGAAATTAGAAGTGCCATAGCGGGAAACTGGTGACTGTGGCTGTCAGATCTATAGCTTGAGCACTGACCCTGGTACCTAAGCTGGGAATGGGGTGTACAGTTGTTCCTTTTGTTCCTTCCTGTGACCCCTGGGCAAGTGGATCCCAGATCTCTTAGGCCAGGGGAAGTCTAGAAAGGGGCCAAGGTAAAGAATACTCCGGGCAAGTGCAGAGTTTGTCAATCTCTGCACATTTTGGACCAGATAATCCTTTGTTGTGGGGCTGTCCTGAGCACTGTAGGATGTTTAGCCGCATCCCTGGCCTCTGCCCACTAGATGTCAGTAGCACCCCTTCCCCATTCGTGACAATCAAAAAGGTCTATGGACACTGCCAAAGGTCCCTTGGGGAGTAAAATGTCCTCCGGTTGAGAGATTTGGGTACAAATCTCATTTTGCTGTTTACTAGCTGTGTAAACTCGTCACTTTCCCTCTGTAAGCTTCTGTTCCCTCATCTACGTAAAGGGAATAATATTTTGTGAGGATTCAATGAGATAGTGTCTCTCATTTAACTTCCTCTCCCTCCCTCTTCCCCCCTCCCTCGGACTGCCCACCGCCCCCAAACCCTCTGTGACCAGCCTTTACCCCATGTCTCCCTCATGGGCTCCTGCCATTCCCAGCAGCGTTGGTCCCTCAGAGTGGCAGTATGGCCCCAGGGGCAGAGTGTCAGCCCTCCCTGGGCTTGACTTTGGGGAAAATGGGCCTCAACACCTCGCCTCT